TTGGTGTCGTGTGTTTAGAGATCGGATTACGTATATCACAAAAGACGACTAATATATGTAATACGCTGACATAAGCGGGAATCAATTCAATAATTCTTCCCATGGAAGCAATCAGACCGAAAATCTACGCTAATAAAAATTGACTCAGCTCGCTGGATACCAATAATATTATCAACTGCTTGTTAATATGACACTCGTCTCCCGAGTGAATTTTTTGTTTTATCAAAAAAAGAGAGATTATCTCTCCTTTTTTATATCTTTTACTTAATATTTGTAGATTGTGACGCGTCGGATATGCTACAATGGGTGTTTCCCATTTGGTGATACAAGTCGACGCAAGTGTCGTTCTATTTTTGTCATTCCACTGTATAAGAAAGATAGAATGATGCTTGTGTTAACTTGTATCGCTAATGAAAAGCATTCAATGTAGATTGAGATATGTATATAGACAATTATAAACGCCAAGTTCGTGGTATGAATCTCAGTATTCATCGCGATAATCATATGCCACTGCTTCTGGAAATACACCTGTTCCATTCCTAATCAGCAAGAACGCTTCACTAAATACGGTTTAAACTTTGATCTCTAGTTGCCCTACCGGCCGTACGAAATTTGCATTTAATGACAGTAGTCAGCAGCGCAGGGCAGGACGTGCGAGGCGAGGTGTTTGGTCGAAGAGGGTGCAATGGTAATTTCGCGCCCTGGCTACGATTAAAAGAGGCGAATACACACATAGGGGAAATTAATTTGAATAACTAACGTAAGAACTAATATAAAGTTCATTAAAAAAAAAATGCTCTCCGTAATGTGCATGAAGGGATAAAGGGGAGGAAATGGGGTTCCTTCCCCTTGCGGTAAACCCCACGACATTTTTTTTTTCAGACAGCCACACGAAGGCAGTCGCCGCAACGTTGGAAGGAAAGTCGATAAAAATACCATTAAGATCCCTCGGCGAATATTCCGCCGGCATTATTGTGCAATTTGCTCGAATTACGCGAATCAGCCGCGTCTTTCTGCCCCAACACGCGAAATGGCTTGCCTTACCCGACAAAAAAAGAACGCCATTTGGTGTCTATATGAATTAAACGACCGCCGAGAACTCAGCTACGAATTAGGCTACCTCTACACTACATAATTCACAAAATGTAGTTCACAAATGCAGAAGAGAATAATTTATCACCGCACGCAAAACACACGCATACGCAAATCAAGCGCAATGAATTGAATTGCGATAGTGTTGACATTTTAATTTAAGTCAGATTAGAGAAACTTATGTCACTATATGTCTGATATTTTCTGTATCACGGAAATTTATTGAAAGGGTAACTTTCTGCTGATAAATGACGAAATACAAAATTCATTCCCACTACTCTTTGCTGTTTTGTCATTGGTTGTCGCAGCTCATGGTTGGTCGTCGCAGCTCAGAAGTTAACGTGACAGTCCAATCTATAGAGCTCTTTAAATAAGATATTGGATCGTTTAGATAACTTCTGATTGGTTTGTGATATTTTGTAGAACCTGTTTAAGATAAACAATAACGTAGATGCATAAGATAAAATGAAATGCATAGATCTCATTTTATCTTATGCATAATCTGTCACATTCTGTCTTGAAAAATATGGCAGACCAAACGTATGGTGTCCAATCTCTTATTCGAGGATCTCTAATCCAGTCTATAGGATAAATCGCCATTCGCAAAACGCAGATTTTTAATTTGTGTTTGCGTTTACAAACTACGTTTTACGATTTTACAAATTATGTAGAGATAGCTTTACGACGATGCTTCGTCTGAAGCACGTATCGCACGCGAACGTTCTGTTTAACACGTGATTACGATATTGCCGTTATCATAGTTAAATATAGCGCGCGAGTTAACAGATGTATCAATTATTAACGACGCTGAACGTTCTCCGAACGTTATTCCTAAAGTTCCATTGAGTTCACGAGAGAGAATTCGAGACCGATAAAGCTGCCAACGTTTTGCTTTGCTAGTACCGCGATAACTTCCCATCTTGACTCATAAATCGACCCGATTATCACGAACCCTCGGCAAGATATGCCGTCAGCGAGCATTTCCTACCGGAAAAAAAAAACACGCACGAGAAACGACCGTACTGCACGAAAATCGGTGTTTTAAAAAAAGAAAAAAAAGAGTGATTGCCCAAAGAATTTAACACCTATCATGGTTCGTCTGAAGTAGTGTTTTTAGAAATAACAGTCTATATAGCCAATCTTCTAATTTGATTAAAAATGGCATTTAAAAAAAATATGAACCTCTCTCTCTCTCTTGCTAAAAAAAAATCTTCCATCACATTTTACAGTTGGAAGAGGGGAAGTAAAGGAATCGTGTGACAAAGATAAAGGCTTTTTTTTAAATCAATAAACCCGTTTGTGCATTGACAATTCAATACATTAGGAATAACATCGCCGTTTATCACGCAATGCTATTTCTCGTTTGCTGCTCGGTTTACGGTCGGTTTCTGAGGAGGAAATGGAAACCGCAGTCACATTCCTTTGCGGGACGTGAAAGTACAAATTGATCGAAGATTCCGCGATTACGAAGTAAATGCGGGCAGAAACGGCAAATCTTGGGTCATAATAATTTAATGCAGGCGCGCCAAGCATTCCGCCCCCCGCGGAGAATTTTTACTACTTTTCTCATAGCAGGACGAGGGAAGAATCTTGCGACGACAGTACTGAAAAATTCATACGTTCCGGAGAAGAATATGAGCGGGATTGCGAATAGATAAGGCAAGCACCTGACACGCATATGACAACTAACGGGGCATACGTGGTCGGACGTTAAATCGATACAACTGCCGACGGTCCTTCGGGAATTTCATATGACGCTATCGTGCGAAAGGTTCCATTTACTCCTAAAAGTCAAGTGTCGATATTTCATCAGAGGAGCAGCATCGATACTTTACGTTTTCAAGGATGAAGAACGTCTCTGCAGTGTACAAATTCTCTCGGACCGGATGACTTAACAGGAACTTCGTTTAAAAATGTGCTTGAAATACTTTAAGCAGAGGGCAAGAAGTTACAAAGGAACTAATTGAAAAATTATATATAAAGTGTGTCTCTCTCTCTCTCTCCTCTCTCTTTTCGACAGCTCCATTTTCTAGTCGTAAATCTTTTCTCGAAGTAAAGTCCAGAGAAAGAATTTACTTTAATAAATACATAGAAAGGAGATTTATTATTTTTATTATTATATTATTTCTTGTTGCAATTTTCTTGTTTATATAACATTATGTATCGTTAGTATAATTGAGAGTACAATTAAAATAATTAAACGGAGTTTGTTTGAAATTAATTAAAAATTATAATTGTATTACGCGGTCTTATAATAATTATAATATTGTGACAAACATATCGATTATTGCGAAGAATAATGCTAAGGTCTCGATGGTCTAAAGGCTTAGGACGCTCGCACGGAATGCAAGAGATCCGAGTTCGACTCCCGGCCGAGGCATTATTTTTCGCAATAAGTTTATTACAGTTTTTAAGTTGGGAATTTTGGGGGGATTATTAATATTTTCAGATTTGATTGCGTTGAAAGTCCGACAACCATATCGGCACGCAATTATAATTTCTGGAATTAATTCATTTAAATGAATTTACAATAGTTCAACATCTTAACGTTCTGACCGTTATGGCGCTTCTTAATTTAAAGCATTATGTTTAACATTAGCGGTCTTTCAATCTTATTATTGTGACAAACATTACTAATAATGTTTTCTTATTCATTTACTTCTTTAGAGAACTCATTTTCCATTTGTAATTATTAATTATTAGATAATTATAGATATATTATGGATATATTATTATAGATATATTATTACATATTTAATCAAATGAGAAAATATCAAAATAGCCGAAAAATATGTTGTTAAAATTTAATAATTAAAAGTGTGCGTGAAATTTTATTGTAAAGAATTTAAAATACAAAATTTTTAATTCTTAATTTTTTTAATTTATAGTTCCAAATCATAATCATTAAATATTTTAAATCATTATGTTCAAAATATGTTAAGGAAAAATTTTAAGAAAATTAAAAAATTATATAAACGATATTCTGAAATTATAAATTTTAAATTTAAAAAGTTTCATACAATTTTAAAAACAAAATTTAGATAAATGGCTTGAGCCAGTATTGTTCTAATTTAAAAACAAGAAATTAAGATATTAATTATTTGCATAATTACAATTACGTAGTTTAGACGAAAATTCGAAAAGATTTATCACCAAGACGATGTCGGATCTAGCTCACCATTAAGTAGCCGAGGGGAAAGTCACGTAAGAACGTCTCGCACCTAGAAACTCGAAGATTTCGCTCGGCGCACAATAGCAAAAAGTCGCAAAGTGCGGAAACTCCGAAAGAGCGGGGAATGTCACGGTACGACTTTATTACACGGCTAGTTCGATTTACGAGTTACTTGAATCCAGGTATTTTCCGCTGTGAGCAGGTGAGGTCGGCTGGGAGAGGCGGAGAGAGAGATCAAGGACGTTCGGCAATAAATTTTCTTGGGCTATAATGGGACTCTATGGTGGTAGAACGGACAGTGACGGGGGCGGATATCGGGGGTAGGATTTCTGCGTCGACTCAAGAGGCGACGCCGGAGTAAGACCACACCGAACGACGTTGAAAAAAGGAGGCGAAGTAGAGGCGGAGGGATCAGACGATGTCAGGATCGAGAATGTCGTTATCGACGAGAAATTTTTCTTGGCGTTTCATGACTTGACGCTTGCGAATGGACGAAGCCAGAGGACTCTGCGATGAGAAACGAACGCCTCACAAGTCGTATACGATGAAAATAGAACGTGTCTAAAATTATTTCTCTAGCTGCTCTAGACATAACAAGAGAGAAAGAGAGAGAGAGAGAGTAAAAGGAGAGGAAGCTTCTTAAACGTGTTCTATCCTTGTTCCTCTCACAGTATATACGCACATATATTTGTCCCTTCCTTTCGTCCGCATTCTAGCGGCGTCTTCAGTTTAATACCGGTCTTCTGTCCTAATACCTCGTTCGTGTCTATAAAGTAAACCCCTCATAAAGCATCGAGCCGGTGCGGGCGACGTGAGGAATCCCCTGGTACTGCGGTTTTCACAGTGAATGAGAGTGGTCGAGGATTTTTAAAGTTTTACTCGCCGGTTGGACAAAGAAGAGGACGATGGACCGCCAGTAATCCGTTTTAGTCATTCCGTATGCACTCGGGTATCCCTCGGCCGCGGTGCTCCAAAACTGCGAATCGGCGAAGAGGGAAATCAAAAAGAAATCGGAATGCCAGTTCAGAATGGTTGAAGAGGAGAAGTGAAAAGTTTGAATAAAAGGCAGTCAAACGAGTTGTTCGAGTGAACTTTATTTAAGTGTTGACGGTATCTAAAGCGGGAATGAAAACCGATGTAATTTCGAGGAGTAAAAGTTTAGATGTTACGAAAAAAAATACTGCCCATCAATTATCGCGAATATATATTCAAATTTTGATTTATAGCGTGATTGAATTCTAAATACGTATTAGGATAACTTTAGCTTTGTCGTTTACTTTTGTTTATCAAATATAAAAAGAAGTAATAAATCGAAAAAAAAAGAATCGAAAAGAATACGATGTTCATCCGATATTCTAGCAACGACCAATTTGCGAAGGAGGACTCGCCCGGTGAAGGAAGAAGTCCTTTTAAATTCGGGTCTCGCTACTTCTTGATAGAGAATCCCTGAGTGGCTATTTCTCACGGCCGAATAGAGTCGTTTAATTCCGCGGACTCGAGATGAGAAAATTGGAATCTGCCTGCGCGTCCAGTCCTCAGTTTTTTATGATACAGTAAAATGACTTTTTTTGAACTCGTGCGCTTCTAACATTTTTTCCACACGAAATCAGCTTATTAAAATATAAATTATATTATTACGCGTGGATCTAATGATACATTCACCAATATAATATCTACACACAGTTTCTATATACATTCCCAAAGTTGACGATAAATATTTTAAAGACAAGTTCTTTGTAACATTCTAAGACGAAAAATCTAATACGAAAATGCCGAGGCTATAATAGTTTCCAAATGAGAATTTAATAAATTATGATTGACGGCTAAAATTTCGCGTTCAGGGGTGACAAGATATAAAGATCTTTTAGTAACAGTCTGGACATGAACTGCAATTTTATTTGCAGAATAGTAGTTTTGTACTAGTTTTAACAAAAATCTGCAAGAAGGCCATACATTTACTATTTCTTTCTCATTCTGTTCTATCTTTTTCTTATCCATTTCTCTCTCTCTCTCTCTCTTTTAGCTGTTAAAATATAACGGACCAATCAGACGTGACTTTCTCATGTCTAGACTATTAGGCCAGTATTCATAGTCAGATCTCATATTCAAAACTATCTTAAGTACAGTCTTAAGGAGTCACGAACCAATCAGAGGGCCGTACACTGAAAAAAATATTTGTGTAAAATTACATGATTATGGGTTGGAAAAAAACCTAGCATAATCATGTAATTTTACACAAATATTTTTTTTAATGTATTAGCTTCTTAAAACATTACTTAAGACAGTCTTATAATAAGAACGGATTATGAATATCGCCCTTAGAGAGTCTCTAAGATGGTCAATGTGAAGATACTGAATTTTGTTATTGTCAAAAGCATGAAACACCTTCACACTGACCATCTTGCCATTCCTGAACACGCGAAATTCTAACCCTGTAATTTTCATCATTTTTAAACTCTTTCCATTTGAAAACTATTCATAGGCTCGGCATTTTTGTATTAGACTTTTTGTCTTAAAATGTTACGAAGAATTTGTCTTTAAAATATTTATAGACAGTTTTAGGATAACCCGTACATTCTGGTCGTTGCTCCCAGCAAATTACGTCGTCTAACTGTTTTTCTTAATTTCAAGAGTTTGCGGAACGGAGTCGCGCGCGCATTCGACGGTAGATACGAAATGCCAAAACACGTAGCTTCTGTAATATTCAAAAGGATCGGTCGAGGGGAACGATGCAACATCGAGAGAAACGAGGCGAACTTCTAGTCGGTACATCGACATCTACAGCGTAAAGAAGCAGAGAAACAAAGAAAGAAATTGATTATATTTCGTAGAAATTCACCTTTCACAAAAGTAGAAATATGTAAATAGTAGAAATAATAAATTTAATCAAAATATAATTAGCTGGAAAGTATTAAGAAAACTGGGATACCCCGAATAAAAGCGTAATAACTGAGAGGTAAATTAAGATAAAAATCTTAAAAGATAAATTCTTCTCTCGCGCGTACAAAAAAGACGTTTACAAAAAGACAGGTCAAAGAGGGGTAATAAGTTTTCAGAAAATATATATATAATATATATATATAACTGTATATATGTATTATATAAAACTCTATCTTAAAAATAAAATAGAGTAGAATGGAGGGAAAAAGAAGTCGACTTGTGTAAGCGATGCAATCGTAACAGACTAAGTGAGTACACTAATCTGCGATATAAAAACGGACGGGCCGTATTTCAGCCAGTCTAAAAGCGATTCACTCGCATACACAGGATCTCGTTAACGGAGCGCGGGATAGTCGAGGAGAAGGAAGAACGCGACACACAAAGGACTTCCACGGGACGCGGCACGCCGTCTGTCCTTTCGTACGCAAGAATGCAGGATCAGGATGAATTTTACAGAACCCTCTGCTCGTCGGAGACCCTACGCTCCGGCAAGAAGGGATTCTTCCACGATTTTAGCGAGCACGTGATGCAAACCGCGGGCGATACCTGGACGTCGAGGATATTCGGACGGATCGATGACAACGAAGGACGGGTGAGGGTGATCTTCACCGATGCGAAAGTAAAAGACGTCGTGACTGACACGCTCGCAAAGGTGAAGCTCCTTTTCAGAGACAAGGATGCGGAAGTCTCCAAGCGCAGGCGACTCGAAGGATACCAGCTCGCTGCCGTCGGCGAACACGACAAGGCCCTTTTGCTGTTCAGTCAGGCTGTCTTGCGCGCCCCTCAACCAGGTCACTACAAATGTGGTAGAAAATCCATTATCCGACCGAGACAAATTTATTTATACTTATACATTGTTAGATATCAAAGGAGTAAGAGTAACTTCTCTAGAATCAAATAACAGTTTGTTATCGTTATCTATGTGTATTAAAATGTAAAGCAATCCGTTTCTGTGGTTAGTTTCAAAATAAACAACTATTGTCCACATTGACATACTTCTTAAATAATAAACTAAATTTAAGTTAAATTTAATACATTTTTTTTAATTAAATTATCTAGCTCCATTGTTTTAATTAAATTAACGAAATATTGAGTAAAAATAATGACAACCTATAGAAATAATTAATAACTCAAATTGAGTATAATTTGACATTATGAATTTAATAATGTATTAACCTCGCATATTTCGTTGTTTATGTCATTTATTACATTACTTATACTACTCTTAATATCTCGTTTTACATTTTTTTTTATTTAAACTTCTAGACAGTAGATATATATGTATTATCGCCCCTTTTATCCGGATAATTGACATTTCACCGTATGAATTATCTATCAAGTGCACTAGATTGATGCGATTAAATTTTTAGATACGGTTATTAAGACGAATCGCTAACCAACGATCGTTGAATTTATTTTTAATTTTGTGCTAACATAAAATAAATGCACTTAATATTGTTCCAATAATTAGGATGTGACGCTACGAATGTTTAATTAAATCATATATAATTATTATTTACCACAAATATAATGTAATTGCTATTTATTTGATTTAATTATTAATTGCTAATTAATTCAGATATTAAAGCAATAATTTGTACTGGGAAATTAAAGATTATTTGTTGATATATCTATATTACATACGAGTTCCATTCCATTCTTTCTTGTATTAAATGTTTTAATACTTCTATGAATTCTAATGCGCGTGTAAATTTAAAATATGCATCGACAAGCCGATTGCATTTGCTCTGGCGTCCCGCCAGATCCGCATAACAAGTAGAATAAATACTTGAATCTTACTCACCGCGTACATCCTGGCAACATACGTCAGTCGGTCGAAAAGCTCATGCTTTCATGTCTTCATTGACTTTGTGTCAATAAATTGTTCGCGTACGCGACGGTCGATCGATGAACGGGTCTCGAAGCCAAGTAGCGATATTTTTCTAAATCACACGATATTGACAATATCTGTTTCAGGTAGAAACAAGACAGTTGATCAGGGTCTTTCGTTGTCCCTGGCGCTGCTGGGAAGAGCTGAGATCTTTATGGCCCTCAAAGAGTATTATTTTGCGTTAGAGGATCTGCGACTGGCCGCCGAACATGATTTGCCGGATAAACTCATGTAAGCATATCTCAATTTGCAGAATGTCTATTTTAGAAATGAGAAAAGTCGTTATACAAAAAAAGCAGACGTAAAAGTCCCAAACTATCACAAATGAAATCACAATAAAAGAAAAAAATAGTTGCAATTACTATAATTTATAGTCATTTTTTGAGCTAACTACATATTTTTTTGGTAGAACTATAAATATAATTAATTATTATTATACTTATAAACACTAGTAATAATAACTATAAAAATAGAACTCCTAACTACATATAATATTATTTTACCCTGTAATTAAAAGATCTATTTTTTATTTCTTCATTAGATTGCATTAAAACTCTCTTTCTCATTTTCGCCAAATTAAATATATCTATCTCACTCTAAATTCCAAAAGTGTACACTAGTTCAGCTACAGAAAACAAATATAATTACGAGTATCAAATATTTTTCTCAATGAAAAGAATGACTTTGTTGAAGTATCTAAATAAAAATCTAGCTAGATACAGATCTAAAAATAATTTTATTGGACCATCAGAATAATTACGTAGGAATCTCAAGCATAAGTATTGATGAACAATGTCGCAAAAAGTTTTGACATTCTAGCAACTAGTTTGAGCGTTCTATATAATTATTTTGATGATACAACAAAATTATTTTCAGATCTGTATTTATAATAGCTAAATTTTTAAATGCTATAACAGCAAAACTGTCCTTTTTATGTACGATTGTTCAATCTATTCTAAATCATGGAGAAAGAATTCAATTCCTAAACAATCGCATATTCTAGAACAGTCCACGCGTAAAATACATGACGAAAAATTTGATTAGCTAGAGAGCAATTTGGGAAATGCGATCTTGTCGAATTTTGCAGGTCGATATCAGCACGAGGAAATCTGCGAATTTGTAGATTTTTGCGACACGTTCTTTGATGCCATGCGTTTTCTAACTCTGCTCTCTATGTACAATTTTCCCGAGTTACAGTTTCCCTAGACGCACATACGAATTTAATCGCGGGTGTATCTTTACTCCGGAATGTACACGCTCGCCCAGGACCACCGGAGGCTTCGAGCCCGATATAATGTAGCGAGGGATGAGGTGGGATACGCGCTCGTGTACTTCCTAAAATATTCAGAAGGGATGGGCACTTGCCGGGACGAATGGCGGCCACTACCGAACGAAACTAGACTCCGGTTTTAGCCTACCTTCTCTGTGGTGCCGTCGCTGGCTTCCCGCTAGGTTAACCTCGTGAAACTAGCCGTACGACTAGGCGAAGTGGCCTTTGAGTAGACGAACAATAAACATTTAATGCGGCGCTTTTGAGAGCGGCATTAACCTTCCGGTCGCTGACCGATGAGGCGGATTAAGCGCGAATGTGAGTCTTGAATTTTTAAATGCCATTAACTTTACGCGAAAAGTATGTTATTTAAAATCAAAAAGGAGATTTCGATTGCGTGATAAGGAACTTTTGATACCGTTCGCTCGATTACGGGAAGTTTATAAATTTCGGGAAATCAGGATGGGCACGCTGAGTCGCGCCATTCTAAAATTATTGTCGTCGATATTTTAAGTGTTGCTCTCATGCTACAAACACGAGTTTATTAATGCGAGAAAATTGTCATAAACATAAAATGAAGCTTACATTATGGGACATTGCACTTTCATTTTGCCAAAAAATCTCAAATTCCTGGTGAAGAGAGAAAGATAAGAGAGAACTTATTGGACTCGTTCAAGTTGACAAAGCGGCTAGCCTGCTCGCCAAGCAAATGAACATAATTGATTGTTACTTATAGATCCAACCAATCATATTCAATCGCTCGGTAAGCATGCCTAGCCGTTTTGCCGTCTTGAATTCGCCCAATGAGTCGCAATCATTTGCTTGGCGGAAAGAGGCCAAATTTGAAAAATGCGTGCTCTGTGTAACAAGCGCGGGCGATCTTCCAATTCATTGTCCTCGTATTACGTTCCGAATCAAAAAGAATATATATACGGAGCGGCTGATCGATCGTTTTGTATTAAGTGTGAATCACCCTGTACGTGATACACGCGCGATGCTGTGCTGATTAAACTGCCATATTATATATCGGAGGAAAATATCATAAAATCCCTCACGGCGATATAATAATGAAGGTAATTCGCTCGTCGATGGCGATCGACAGGATTAACAGTACATTTGCCATAATATCTGGTTATAAAAAGAATCTATTAGATCCTCAAAAAAAAAAAAAGGGATTTACTTAGATGTACATTTAGAAAGAATTTTATTTTTAATATTTTCGAAGTCTCTGTATTAATTCTCGAACGCACGCTCTGTTAATTAAAATCTAAAAATAGCAGAAAAAATAATTTTAAATTAAAATCGCATGTCTCTGAAAGACAGCTTGAAATTCATGTAAAAGTAGTTTTAGCAAGAGCAAATTTCTCCAGACTGACATTTCTGGAGAATATTATTAAATAAAAGATTCTGCGAGAGGTCTAAAAGATTTTCATTATGTATCTAAACCTTAAAATGCCTTGAAATGAGATTTTGAATGGCCCGTGTACTGGCATGATTATATTACAATCTGATGCTACTCAAATTTTCGGAAATTTCGTGTACAATCTCGCTTGCCTCGCTTTAACGATCCACATTCTCCGGTTTATCGACGCAGACAGACGTAGTTATCATTGCATCAATCGCGAGTAGATAGACGCGAATGAACCGCGCTCATCGCCTGGTCGGTGGTCGGTGGACGTACTGCAAAATCGATAATATAAACACTGTGCAAGCCGCGGACGAGCGGACGTAGTAGCTGTTCTGTCAATTAAAATCGCAGCAGAATTAATGACGGATAAATGCGGACATGACGGATTACGCAAAATGGATTTTATCCGGCCCGCGCCACCAGTTATCCGTCCCGCGCCGCAAACGGCGTTATATTCGGGGAGGACGATTCGGGGGAATGTTCTAATTATAATTGCTACAATTATCGATGAGCATCACGCGGAATTCTCAAACGCGGGTGGATCATTAGAAACTCGACGCGCGAATACGCGCGTAACGAGCACGGCGGATGAATATTATAATTTTCGGCGATTATATAATATATATACGTGTTTTACGATCGCTCTAAAAATTTGTATGAATTGTAGGGAAAATGTATTTTATGACGACAGAAATTATCAGAGTTTTCCCACTGAGAAATCGCTGGGTTTGGTTGTAAAACAACGCTCTCTTTCTCTCTTTTTCTCTTCCTCTCACTTTCTCTCCTGCGTGAAATACGCAGATTTTTGCGAGTGCTCTCGCAAACAAAACAAATGATATTTTGCAGAGGAAAAGGATGCCACGTTGCGAAATAATGTTCGCAGAATGACACTCGAGAAAACACGTTTGCTTTATCACGGAATAATAGTCAGCGTATTTTGCGCAAGTGTAATTGCGAGAGGGTGGGGGTACTTCGCGAGAACAAAAGCGGAGTGAGAAGCCAAGTTCCTTCCATGCTTCCGTATCAAATTCCATTTTATAGCCATTTTCGTGTGTTGCGTTTTTATCCGAACATCATAGTTAAGAACTGCGGCAAGGAAAGCTAAAGTTAAAGCGGAAAAAGGGAACTCCTCATGGACGGAATGCATCGTGCTGAATTTAAAACGAGCAAGGCGATACGTAAGACAATTTATCTTTCGCCGCCGAAGAAATACGAATGCTCAGAATATATTCCTTGCCGAACAGAAACTTTTTAAAACGATTCTTGATGAATAAGAAAACGATTCTTGTATAATGCCAGTGTGACATTTATGTCGTCTTTATTTTTATTGTCGTTATTCAATTATACTAGAACGCAATTATAAGGTAAAGGCTTTTCGTCCATTTCTCGCGATAATATTCATCGAATCGATATGACGCCCGTCCCGGAAAATCGGGAGTTTCAGATTCAAATCCTGCTTGAGGTTGTATTTTTCGCTATAAATTATTCGCAAATTTTAAGATTCTCATTAATATGTGATTATTAATATTCTTGGAAAAGATGCTTATTAGCATAAAAAAATAATTATTAAATTACTTGTCAATTTAATAAAGTGATGTTACTACCCTCATGGTTTTGCTCATGGTGACGTTTCAAGATTGAAAATGATTTCGGCGTATAACATCAGCAGAATCAGATATGTACTCGTACATAAATTCACACAAGAAATATTTAAGCACTAAGATCCTGCTTTGACCGAATATAAGAATTTTCATATTGAATTAGATAATGTTTGTTTCCGAGCAGCACACATTGAATATTTAAAGCTTATGCTTGTACTATAATATCAAGAAACCATCATGATTGCTTAATGTAGTTGTAAGCATGTCACTGTAAAGAGATATTGTTTACCGTCGTAAATTTTCATATTACTTTAAGGTTGAAACTGACGGAATAGCATCGCCCTATTCTATTAAGACATCAAAATATCGAATAAGTGATAAATTTTAAGAGAGAACAGGTTAATGTGAGCAGTAATTTAACACGACCACCAACGGAGATAGGGTCGTTGGAAAGAACGTTGTCGCGAGTACTTGAAAAATATTCCCAGACCTCGTAATTCTGTTTTCCGACACTTAACGGTCGAGAAACGCGCCAGTTGGAATTCGCACTCGGAGCCAGGGGAGGATAGAGATCAGCCAGATACGAGATCGTGCCATCAACTGCAGGAGATAGAGCTTCCTCGTTGAGGTCACGCGTGCGAAATTAGATCTGACCCGATTTTCGCAGAAGTAATTCGCGACTGGATAAAACGTGGGTACGAACTATCGGTCGCAATGAACCCGATTTTTTCTCTGGAATTCTGACCGGATCACCCTTTCGTTTCTGCTACTAAGGAAAAAAGAGACTGATGTTGAACACGATCGGGATAGAAGAATACAGCCAGGCGAGGAAATCTCGTACGTTCGCCCGTCAGTTCGATAAGAAGGATTGCTTCTCGAGCTGGTCTGCACGTTTCTGCAGCAACGGCTTTGATCCAGATTGCGGCAGCTTTCTGGGGATAAGCAACGTAGG